AGTAAAATATTTTTAGCATTGTATTTAAAGAATCTTAACATGGATGCAATAAAACATACATTAATTGTAAAACCTGTTTTCAAAGAAAATACCTCATTTTAGATTGTTTCACATGCCTAGACTTGGGAGAAAGGAAAAAAGTTGGATGAGATTTAAGAGTTAAAATTGATTGAACATCACTATGAGCAAAGCATTCTGCTAAGTATTGTCAGATCTAAAGTTAAAAGCATGACTCATTCAAATATAAAGGGAGCACATGTCAGGGGCACCTGGGTGGCTCAGTTGGTTAAGTGTCCACTTCGGCTCAGGTCATGATCTTGCAGTTTGTGAGTGCTAGCCACGTGTCAGGCTCTGTGCTGACCGCTCGGAGCCTGGAGCCTGTTTCGGATTCTGTGTCTCCCTCTCTCTCTGCCCCTCCTCGGCTCGTGCTGTCTCTCTCAAAAATAGACATTAAAACAAAACAGGGAGCACGTGTCAAAGATTTCTTAACTCATGAATGAGGGAACAGACAAGATAGTTCAAAAAGAATTAGGAAGATGGAAATATTTATAGGGGCTGAGCAAGAAAGAGGAGCACATGGATAAAATTTGTAATTTAGGTACGGACCTGGTTCATGTCCTAGAGGGCAGTAACAGGATAATCTTGGGATTATCTTTTCGACCCTGAAAGCAGTTTCATGTCTTCTGGACAAAATCAATTTGCATTTCTCTTGGATAAGAATCATTTGCATTGCTAGCACTTTTCTACAAGTTAACTTCTACACTTACAGAATTCCAAAATCTCCTTATGGTGAGATTGAGTAAGTAGCAACTCAAACAAAAGTACCCACCTAGAGAATCAGATAATTCACCAAACAGGTCTACACACAACCCTGGCTTAACACTGAAAAAGACTTGCACGTTTCCAAATTTTTAGATAATTTTATTTTTAAATTTTTATATTTTGGGGCGCCTGGGTGGCGCAGTCGGTTAAGCGTCCGACTTCAGCCAGGTCACGATCTCGCGGTCCGTGGGTTCGAGCCCCGCGTCGGGCTCTGGGCTGATGGCTCAGAGCCTGGAGCCTGTTTCCGATTCTGTGTCTCCCTCTCTCTCTGCCCCTCCCCCGTTCATGCTCTGTCTCTCTCTGTCCCAAAAAAATAAATAAACGTTAAAAAAAAAAAAAAATTAAAAAAAAAAAATTTTTATATTTTGATTTTTTTAATGTTTATTTATTTTTGAGAGAAAGAGACAGAGTGTGAGTGGGAGAGGGGCAGAGAGACAGAGACACAAAATTGGAAGCAGGCTCCAGACTCTGAGCTGTCAGCACAGAGCCGGATGCGGGGCTCAAACCCACGAAGAACCTATAAACCGTGGGATCATGATCTGAGCCGAAGTCGGACACCCAACTGACTGAGCCACCCAGGCAACCCTGAATACTTTTATTTTTAACAGCACTTATGCATAGTTTATGGAAGCATTTAATATTTATCATTTTGTGCGGCCTACACAATTCTGAAAAGTGGTTATTATTAATTCCAGTTGCACGGATGAGGAAACTGAAAATCAAGGAGACAAAGAAATTTGTTCGAATTCACTGGAACAAATGATTACCCAGACCTGTTAAATTATGAAATCCTTGCTTTTCTTGCTACAGTGCATATATCACCCCCCAAAAATGTTTTAATTGTCTTTATTGAGATACAGCATACATATGGCACAGTGCAGATACCTTAAGTACACATTTTAATGGCTTTTTACATATAAGGATGTATGTATATGTGCGTGTCTTTTGTCAAACACATATTACCATGACCCAGATCAAGATGTTAAACATTTGTAGCGCCCCAGAGTTCTCATGCCTCTTTCTACTCAACCCACCATCACCACTAACCCCAGGTCATCTTTTTTTTTTTTTTCTACATCAATCACCATAAATTAGTTTGGCCTGATTTTCATAAAATGGGTCATACATACAGTAACTGCTGTTTTGTGTCTGGTATCTTTTGCTCATAATTATGCCTGTGGCATACACCCATGTCGTTGCATGCGGTAGTATTCTTTCTAAAAAACTGTTTACAAAGTTCATTGCATGAATATACCCAAACTTATCTATTCTCTTGTTGAGGGACCCTTGAGTTGTTTCCAATTTTTGGCTCTAAGGCATAAAGCCATTAAGAATATTTTTGTATATCCTTTCTGTGAGCGTGAGCATATATTTTTGTTGGCTGTATACTCCGGAGGGGAGTTGTTGGGTGGTACGTTTACATATTTTTGGTTTTAGTAAGTACTGCCAAATATTTTTCCAAAGTGGTTGCACCAGTTTGCGTTCCTACTAGCATAGCAGTGTATGAAGATTCCAGTAAGTTCACATCCTTAACAACTCTTAAATCGTTACACTTTATTTTTAACTATTTTGTGATATGAATAAGTATTCCTCTGCATTTAAATTTGGTCCCTGTTATAAAAGAAAGAAATAATATGACAGTTCTATAAAGCATTAGGTCTGAGAAAGTGATATCAAATAATATCAGCTCTGTCTGGAGTGCGTGGATGGATCCCAGTGCTTCCGATTTGGGGGCTACTTTAATAGGTGAGTGTAACATACCGAAATAAAACTATGTCTTTTTGATACATTCCCTCTGTTCATTTAGGGTGCCGTGATTTTGATGGCATTTACCGATCAAATCTATTTGATAAAAATGCTCAGGGGCACCTGGGTGGCTTAGTCGATTACATGTCCGACTTCAGCTCAGGTCTTGATCTTGCAGCTCGTGAGTTTGAGCCCCACTGCTCTCTATTGTCAGTGCACGGCCTTTGTCGGATCCTCTGTCTCCCTCTCTCTGTCCCTCCCCCATTTGCGCACTCCCTCTCTCTCAAAAATATTTTTTAAAAAATGCTTAGTAATATTAGAAAGCTTCTTTAAATTTAGCACTGTATAAAAAGACTAAGTTAGGAACCTAATTACTACTATGTAAAGGACCATGCACATTTGAAAAAATCTAACCATAAATATAAACAAGCTACAATTAATATACAGAGATCTAACTTCAGAATGGGTCCCTGTACCAAGGAGATAGTAAACACATGGTGCTCTATATATGTTTATGAATGATAGTGATTGCACACCTCTTCTTTCTTTATCAGTTCTGAGTGGGGCTTTACCTTTTTGTTGTTGTTGTGTTTTGTGTGCTGGTCCACATTAGATCATTACCTAAATTGAGGCAGACTCACTAATTTACAGAAAATTTGCAGTCTCCACAGATAACTTGGATGTACATCTTAAACAGTCTACAACTATTTCTAAATCTGTAGTTATTTTTATTCCTACTCCACAAATTAATATAATTTAGGACCCTAGGGAAGACTGCTTTCCTTCAATGGCCAGACTTTGAATTCACTATCTTTTCTTTTTACGACAATGGGTGAATCTTTGATAGACTGCTATGATTCGGGGCAGGAAAAACAAACAAACAAACAAAAAAACAAGCTGCCTGGCTTTAAATCCTATTTCTATTACTTAACCATGTGACCTGTGGTAAGTAATTTAACCTCTGTACACTTCAGTTTCCTCATCTGTAAAATGAGAATAATCACTCCAACCTAGGAGGGTTGAGAATTAAATGAGCTATTATTTGTAAAGCATGTAGAACACTATCTGATACACAGCAACAATATACAGGCATTTGTTTAGTAAAATAAATTTGAAATCTTACCTCAAAGTGTCTTCTACTCAATCACTCAAAAAACTTCTCTTTGGATTCCTGTATGCTCTCTTCAAATACCCCCTCTGGAGCCATACGTCCCCCCATGCCAGCTTATGCACAATCCTCTCAAAGAAGAACAAGATACTCAGTGATAGTGACCCCCCAAACACACAACAATGTGCACGGATCTCCTATGCAGTAAGGTGAGTAAAAGGAGCCTGATAGAAGAGGCTACATATTGTAGGATTCCATTTACTTGACATTCTGGAAAAGGCAAAACCATTGGGATCAAAGCAGATCAGTGGTTGTCAGGGACCAGAGTCAGGGGAGGAGTTAACTGCAAAGGGGCACGAGGGAGTTCAGGGGTAGGAGTGTCGATGTGATGCAGTCGTCCTATATCTCGACTATGGTGGTGATTAATCAACTATATGCATATCTTAAAAGATACACAACTATACTTTTAAGAGGGCAAATTGTGCTATGTGCAAATTACACCTGAATTTATAAATAGAAAAAAGAGTAAGAGGTACCACAAAGTCTTTTACCAAAAAAGAAGTCATTCAGTTACACGTAAGCAGTCCTAGAATATGTGC